GGAGAGAGTGGGTCTCAGGGTAAACTGAAGAGAGTTTCAGAGACCACACGCCCACTCGCGTCTGTCTGAGTGAGCTGCTGTGGCCAGTGACTCTGCATGTTGGAATCACCTGCAAATTTTTAGAATAAGGTCCACTTCTAGAGCTTCTGATTTCCTTAGTTCAGCGTGGTCCCAGGCATTGGAGCTTTTTAAACATCTCAAGTGACATATTTTGCATAATTAATTTTTAAATAAGACACAGTGAGGCATTAAATTCAAAAGATATGACTTCTGAGGAGTGTACCATGGTCTAGCAAGAATTCAGTGATATAAAAGGGATAGCCCCTCTCTCCCGCCTTCCTGAGATTTAAAGTTGAATTGAGTGATTTCAATTTAAAGTTCAAAGCTCATTAGCCGTGGGACTGTCTGCAAATCACTTTCTCTTTCTAATCAGTGAAACTGGGATCATCATTCCTAGATGGATGCATTTTTGTGAGAATGAAAAAAGGTGATGGTGGAGGCAGGGCTTAATCCGGGCTCTTTGACTTCTGGTGCAGGGCTCTCTCCCTGCGCTACATTGCCTGGATGGCAAAATGCAACGTGAAGCCTGCTGTCTTTCATCATCATGGAAATGCTTGTGTGCACCCACAAATGCGTGCACACACGTGTGCGTGTGCCCACACTTGCATGTATGCGTGTGCACACACACACATACACTTCCTCGCAGGAGGAGGCCTTAATACCAGGATGCCCTGTGATCTTGTCACTCCCAGCTCTCTCTGATAAGAAGGCCAACTATATGGTAGCCAGTGTCCCTAGGTGGCACAAATGACTTGCTCTCAGCTGCTAACCTAAACATTGGCTGTTTGAACCCACCCAACAGTGCCACAGAAGAAAGGCCTGGTGATCTGCTTCTGTAAAGATTATAGGCAAAGGGGGAAAAAAACCCTATGGGGCAGTTGTGTTCTGTAATATGTGGGGTCGCCATGAGTCAGAGTCAACTTGACAGCAACAAACAACATATGGTAGCTGTAGCTGCCACCATCAGGTCGAGAAAGGTCATGGAGAACCTTGAGGACCAGTTTCCTGGCTGGAGTAGACTGACCCATATGTGCTAGTGGACAGGCAAACACTGGCAGCCGCACTTTCTCTGTCCCTCTGCAGCAGAGACGAGCGTTGTTGTGTTATTGTTTTGTGCTGTCCGACCACAGCGTAAATCAAGGCACACCCTTATTTTTTTTCCCTGCATTACGGCCCTCATCCATTTGAATGTTTCCAGCAAGTTCCTGCATTCCTACCACCCCTGAAAGCATTTTCCAAAAACCTGTTTTAGTTTAAGTTGCTGGCGGTTTGGCAAACGAAGGGCTGAAATACGGCACTGTGAGTCAAATTTAAACCCTATGCCTTAAATGAAGGGCGCACTGTTGCCAAACCCCTGGTGGGTCTTGATGTGCGGGAGCA